GCTGCTTCTCGCTGCCACGGTGTACTTGAAGTTATCAGCGGTCGTAGTCTAAGCTAGAAGTATATGACGTCTGGGTAAAATGATTTTAAATCTCTCCAAGGCCTGTGCTGGGTCAGACCTTTGTGACCACAAAGATATAAGCAAGATGGTATCTTTATTTGTACTGACATAGCAAAACAAAGCAGAGGATAATAAAATAAGAAAGGTTTTTAGCTGCTGCTAAAGCCGCTCTGAGTCTTTAAATCTCCCACTACAACACCAGACACTATTCAAATGTGATAATAACTATGACTGTAAGTTGCCACATACAGTAGGCCGACGGTGAACACATTCTCAGTGCGACACATGTCTAAAAAAATGTGCTTTATCTTTCCTGTCCCCTTCCTTCTTTTCTGCTCATCCTCTGCAATGTAAATTCCTGTGCGTGTGTTTAGACTTAACCTGAATACCCCCGTCCCCGTGTGGCAGGAATATTAACACAAAAAACAGACACTGTAATGCTGCCAAGCTGTTTGTGGGCCCTGATGGGACAGTACCGTAAAAGTTCTAATATCAGTGGCCGAAATGAGACTACCTGCATACTGTTCAGATCTTATATGACAGAGAGACTAAGGACGATATAGGTTTGATGGACTTAGACTATTATTATAGGCCTGTCTGAAGCCACATCTTGAAAACATTACTCTGTAAAGAGTCAAAAGTTTACCGGAGCTCATCCTTGGCTTTTTTTTTTGTGCTTAAAAATCTGTGAAACTGTGCTACTCTGTCTGCCTTCATGTGATTTTCTTTTTATCTTTGTGCTTTTGAAGCCACGTCTGTGCTTCCAGGAAGGAACAGAAGAAATCAAGGATAATTTTTTAATATAAAACTTGAAGAAGAATACTAGAAATGAGGAACAATATCTGAAAAGAAGGTGGACGTCAACATTTTGTTGAGGGTCACGGCTGTCCCGTTGCTTCGTCACATTAAAGTTCTGATTGTCTTAAAGGGGGACGATGATACCCAGAGCCCCGGGGTCCCTGCCAACACAAACCCTGCTCCCAACTAAACAGTCCCCCACAATCCCTTGCTCCAAGCAGGGTAGGGAGGGGGGGGGGGGGTGGATGAGAGTCAGAACAGGACGGAGGAGGGACACATCGGCGCCATGGCGATCCCTAAGACAACTTATCTCCTCTCTCACAATGATAGTGCCTGTCAAAATAACTGCCAAGATACATAGCCAGCCAGGAACTGGTTAACTCCTGCTTTGTCCAATCAGAGGGCCCGCAGTCTCTGTCTTTCCCCACCTTGGAGGGCTCTCTAGGAGCCGAGCTCCACAAACACACATTATCTGTGTCTCAGTGCACTCAAACAGGTTCAGTTCAGTTCAGCTTTATTGGAAGGAGAGACGGGAAATGGTCACTACATTTTCTAAATATCGTTCTAGTTAAAGGGTAACTTTGGTGTTTTTTAACCTGAACCATATTTTCTCATGTTTTTGTATCTAAGTGACAAATGTACAACAATTTTTGAGACTGGTCCAGTATTAAGTGAGAGCGCTGCAGCTGGATGCCATCACACAGGCTTCAATGTATCTACTTGGGGCATTTGTGCACTGTCAATCTATGTCTACTTGTTTTTGCCACTGACAGGATCAGATTATCATTATAAGTGTCTGGCAACATTATGGAAAAGATCCCTACAGAGATAGGCCTTTTTTTAAAGAGTAAGATCCTTTTAATGTCACCAGGAACAGCCCTGAAAACGCTATCACCAAACCCACCAGACTTCTTTTATATAAACAGTAATTTTAGCGTGTATAGAGTCAGCATATTTTCACATCTAACTGGGTGAGTTAAGGGCTTATTTCAACCACAGCAGATTTGGTGATTGTTGGAACAGTGGAAAGACAAACCAAGATGGGTTCTGTGTGTTTTATTTTGTTTCTGTTGACTTTGAATAAAGTGTGTTTTAAAAGAAATAAAATTGGTGTTTATTTTAATGGAGTCTGGTGGGTTTGGCGATAGTGATTTTGGGCTGTTTCTGATTAAACTAAAAGGATCTTACATTTTAACAAAAAGTTCTATCTCTGTAGGGATCCTTTCCATAAGGTTGTCAGACACTTACATTTACAATCCAAGCCTGTCAGTAGCAAAGACAAGCACTTTTAGTGGACATAAATTGATGACGGCAAATGCCCTGAGTGGTTGCATTGCTACTGCCAGACTCAGCATCGCCTCTCAGAAATTGCTGTTCACATTAGTTACTTTGACTAAAAAATTAGGGATGCACAATAATATCTGCATGCATTGGTACTGGCCAACATTGGCTTTAAAATTTCACGTCTTCATCTGCTAGTGGTCCATCATGATAAGATAAGAGTATGCATGCATATGATGTTAATTCCACTACAGAAGAGACTTAATGATCACTTTATCAGTATAGAGCTCGTAAGTCACGCCCCTTCCGGTAGACCGCCATCGGACCTCTAGGCTCGGAAAATATGAATGGGAGTCAATGGAGAGAAAATTATTATTTTCTGGTCCCAGTCATTAAATGCCTTGGATTACACAAATATTTTGTGTGGGTCTAAATAATATTTTTTCATGTTAAGAGTTTGACAATTTATTGTATGATTCTTCAGTTAAAGGCTGTGGAAACAACGTAATGAGAAAGACTACATGTCGCCTATGTGATGTCACGTCATCACACTTTCCCTCCACTTCTCAACTCACAGTGCTGCTGCTGCGTCTTCTGCCACGATCTACGTAGCCATCAACGCCGACCATCTCCCCACTGGTGTGGCTGAAACTTTCCACATGTCCAGACTTGTAGTGGTTTTCGCCAGGCTGAAGGCTTTTGTCCTCTCCTTGGAAGAAGGCGGTGAAGTGTACCAGAGACACAGCCATGTTCAGAGTGCAAGTGGTGACGTATATCATACGCGTCGAGAGCAGTGAAGAGCTGTAGTCCACAAAGCACTCTCACACAAAACCTAACAGTAACAAACTTCTTCCCGCTAAATTGCAGCCTTCTTTGCATGAAAAAAATATATTAAAAATTCACAAACAACATATGTGAAATTCATGGCACAATTCAAATGTGACCAGAAAATAATTTTCATCTAGCCACTGAAATACATTATGAGAAATCAATTTTTAAGGTCCCATGTACCAGAAACGGAAACACGCAACCTACAAGCTCTATCGGTCAAATGAGTTGTTAGATTTTGGCATATCGAATACTGGCAAAAAAATATGCAGTATTGTGCATCCTAAACAAAAATGTGGGAAAATAGGGTCCAGGTTGAGGAATACTGAAGTTACCCTTTAATATCACAAATTAAAGACACTCAATCTCTCCCTCACCTCAGTCCTCTCAGTGTGAAATGCTGCAGTCTTTACTCGTACAGTAGAGACTGTTTTGAGTTTTGCTCTTTTAACTTGTAATGACCAAAAAAAGCTCAAGTTACATTACAGGGTTATTATGGTGGACTCTTTGAATATGCAATCTATTATATGTAGGCTGTGGACTGTCCTATGTACATCTGCCCTCTTTCACATTTTGCAAACCGCTGTGTCTAGCACCATTTGTTGTGAACTGTCGCCACCAAGCGGTGTAAATTATAAATGGCTCAGGAGTATATCAGGAGGTGGCAGAGTCAAGTAAACTTTTCGGGGTTGGTATGGTTGGTACCCTCCAAGAGGTCACGTGAGACTTGAGATGGTAAGATTATTTATATGATAATTTTTTTTCTTTTCTTTGAAAAATACTTTTGAACAATGCATTTCATAAACATGTTATAAGTCTTCTTGGAAAATATTGATAAAAAGCCAGAGACATTAGATTTGTTCCATAACAGCAGTATGTGTATAAATAAAAGAATAAATTAAAAATGAATGGAACAACGCCCGTGCAAAAACACACACAATAGGGTTACTTAATTGGGTATGAAACTGAATTATTTTTATAAATATATAATAATAGTTTTGACTATTTTTAATTGGAAATTAATCAGCTATTTCTACCAGAGTTAAAGTATATTTTTGTATAGACCTCGAGAAATAAATAGAAATAAACAGTTAATAAAATCACTCAAAAATCACACTTCTCTAACAGGTCACAAGTACACCAAGCTGACGAAGCCAAAAACGTTGAGAACTACTGCATTACAGTCTGTGGTAAGTCCTATCACCTCTTAACTCATTAAACAAATAGCAGAGGCATTATTAAAACCCAAAGAATGATTTTCAAAAGTCAAATATTAAAGACTATATCTTGTTTTGGATGTGGGTAAAGAAATCTCCATAGCATGAGGGATAACGTTATATCTGTAGGCTAGTACGGTGTGCAGAATTTCTTAAGGGGCATATTTTAGACTAATACTTTGCTTAAATAGTAAATAAATAAAATGGTGGTAACGCAATTGCATTAAAAAACGAAAATAATGACATTACTGTTCTACCGTAATGACCACTAAATGATAACGTCACCTCCCTCCAGTCATGGTGTCGTGTGCTGTACAGATTGTAAACCCTGGATTTGATTTTCATTTGTGATTTGGGGCTATGTAAATACAACGTACGTGATTTGCGTCACTACTAACACAACTACAGCTGTGAGTGCCACAGGAGCGCGCACGTGTGGCGTATTAATTTACAACCCATCTGTTGTGCGGTCAAGGTCTGCTGAACCCTGTTACGGGGTGAAGGGATTTCAGGTGGAGATGGAAAAAAGTAGTTCCCTGACCGGGAATCGAACCCGGGCCGCGGCGGTGAGAGCGCCGAATCCTAACCACTAGACCACCAGGGACTGATATATAACTGTATACACGGACTACATTTTGTTCATTATTATAAACTTACTGTCATATATTTGTATAATTTTTATGTTTGAGGTTTTATAAAAGATCGACAAATAACCAGGTCGCCAACCTAGCTAACCTTAGCTAACCTTAGCTAGCATAAGTTACCGTTACCTGAGCATTAGCTTTAGCTAGCTCATATGTTACAAGCTGGTGGTGAGCTCATGTTTTTACAGCGCACATGACAGCAGAGGGCGTCGTGAAGGGAAGCTTCATTTCGATATTAACATTAGCTGCTGAAGGATGCACGCAAGGTATGTGGGCTGTTTTAGCTACCTATTTTATGCCAGATTTACCGTTTAAATGCGTCGTTGTACATCGGTGTTTAGCGTCAGTGTTAGCTCAGATTGCTTGAACAGGAATACCTCGTTTTAAGTGAAGGGGCTAACGCTAGCGTCTGGTCCGAATAAAATACCCTTACCATCTCCACCAGGTTGCTATTGTCCTGTAAACAAAGTGGCTAGCTAGCACAGTTAGCATCAGCTGTTAAATCAGATGGCAGACTGGCCCCTGGTCAGTGTGCCCGTGTTAGCTTAAACCTGGCGGGCGCCCATGCTGTTGTTACATTAGCACAAGTGGATATCTGTGTTTTGTTGCTGCTGCACCTTCAGAAGAGGTTGAAATCTGTTCAATGATCCGGGGCATAGAGGGATTCCCATTGACTAAGCTGCTACAAAGTGGAGACTGTAGCTAGGTGTGGTAACGTTGCCTTAAATTTAGCCTTTCCCCTGCAGTTAGCCTTTTACCTGTTATATAACCCTCCCAGGCTACACATGGTTCAACTGGAGTTGCCTGATTTGTGTTTTTTAAGGGTGTGTGACATGCGTGTAATCGATTGTTTCGTTTTCGCCTAATCCTGTTGTTACAGCCACAGCTACTGTAGATGTTGGTGTAGCCATGACGGTCTGCATGTTAACACCAACTGGATCCCCAAACTGATGATAATAATAGACACACTGTTGTGATTAAGCCTAATTACATAATAAAACGCATGTTTACTGTAGCAACATTAACTAGTAGCAGATGTGTCTCTCCTCCTCAGCAGAGAGCGAGGCATTTTTTTTCCTGTTGGTCAGCCGCTGCCAGCTGAGTGGCCTGAGATGCTTATTATAGGATGCTTTCATCGCCCTCCATTCAGGCTGATGATGTTATTGGGCTTTTGCATTGTAGTGAGTGCTGCTGAGTGAGGAGGCACCCAGTGAGCCTGCTAATCCCCTCGCTTATTTCCTCTGCAGGACAAGAGAGAAGTGCTAGACCACAGTGTGAGAGACGATCTACTCCAAGTCTGCTGACTTGGACACACTTGAGTGGGTGTGGGTGTGGAAGGGTGGATGTTTGTATGGATGCGCTTGACTGCATGCGGATTTAGGACCCTGGCCTGATGGAAAAGAGAGACAGGAAGCCGGGATATTTTGCCAGGTAAGACAGTGTGTAATTTGTGTCATTTGCACTTCATTTAGGTGTTGTCATGCAGCAAAAATGGTGTTAAGCTCCAACATGTATCATGTTTCCCCATCTTAAGGTGGTGCATTGAGTATGTCATTAGCTTGTGGATGACTATAGACATTTTGTTTTGCATTCATGACGATTTCTGTCTTTATAAGTTGCCTTGTAGGGTTAGTATAAGAATCAGAAATATGCCTCAGAATGTTTTACAGTCTGTATAACCTCAGACCCTTGATTATGCTAAAAGAAAAACTTAAAATCCCTGTTCATTATTTAAGGATAAGGGTGGTGCACAGACATATGAAGAGAGGATTGCAAAGAAATGATTAAAAACTAATCATTCTTTTGAGGCAAAGTAACATAGAAAATTCTCTTTAAGTTTATGACACATCACAACTCTCATGATGTCAGGAGATTGATTAACCTGACATCATTCAGGTGGCTGATTTTATTCTTCTCTGGTATACTACTAGCTATGTCTTCCATCTGCCCCACTAGCAACAAGCAAATCAAATGAATATGGTCTCATCATACAGCCTAAAAAGTTAGGTTACCACCTATCCATAATAAGGGACTGTTCATTACCTATGAGAGGGGAGAAAGTGGTGCAAAACAGGTAGGCATGTCAAGTATTTTTTTAAAGTGATGGAGGAGGGACATACAACTTTAAATGGTTGTACTTTGTGTTTATTTTAAAGACTTTATGAACCCCAAAATTCACCGATTTTTTTTTTTAAACTTGCCACAATTGCACAATATATCATAGCAGAAACAGTAAAAACAGAAATTATTGTCAGAATTTCAAATATCTGAGGATCTTTAAACACATTTTGTGCGACAAATGCTTCAATCAGGAAATATTACCAAATCAAGCTCAAAATAGTGGTATTTCAACCAAAATATGGGTATTTAAGGGGAAGGAAGGGTCATATTTTTCCACAAGTCACTCACGGAGGCTCAAAGGAAAATATTTGTAGCTACAGGGAGGGTCAAGATCATAGAAAAACATAAAACAAACCAGCACAAAAAAACAAGGTCATACCTCAGCCACTCAGCCACCCCCCTACTCTGATAAGTTATGAACTATCCCTATGTGACGCATCAGCTGCACAAAGGCATTGTGTACAGTTTGCTATTCTGTCATAGTGTGTTTTTTGTTTATTTTTTAATAGATATTGGGAGCCATTATACCCCTTTTTTGTCTACATAATTCTTATAGCGCAATTACTGTGTCAGGTTTCTCTCAAAATGGTCTTTGTAAGAATGCATGCTAAAACTCGTCTCTAGTTACCAGATGTCCCATTACCATGAAGTTTAATGAATGGTTAGCATCGATTTGTGAGAACACAATACGGAAACTGATTATATATATTCTGTTGACAGGAAGAAGCTAGTAAGGTTTTTTTTTTTAACCATGTCACCCAACCAAGAGTAAAGCCCATAATGTTTTTGCAAACAAGTTCTGCTTCCTGCATTGCTTGTCAGAAGTGACATTTGTCATTGTGCTGCACTGTTGTTTGTACCTTGATAATCTGCCGTGAAGGTGCGTAACGTGGTTATTAATTCTCACCTTTTTTAAATCATGAATTGCCACTGTTAAGTCACCTGCCTCTGAGCTGCACCCACCAGATACAGCCTCATATAAGCCGAGTCATGCGTCAGAGTGCCTTGACCCACTGGGACGATGTTGACCGTAAAATGGATATTAGCAGCATTGTGAAACATGATAGCGGGAAATGTGTGGACAGAGGCCTGTCACAGTTATGGTGCATAGACTGACAAGGAAGCAGCAGGTCATGAACAAAGATCAGCCCTTTATTTCTGATGTCAACACAGATGACATGTAAGTGCATGGATGACTAATTAATGGCTGCTGGCAGGTGTTCAATTTAGAGCGCTAAGTGACTGATGTAACAGGGCTTGAATATGTCTAAAAAGCCTCAAAGGTTAAGCTTGGCATTTTCGACCTGCACCCATTTTGCAATGATTTGTGTCTTGTGTCTGTGTTTTTGAAATTGGTTCAGTATTGAGCAAGAAGGCTGCAGCCGGCAGCCATGAAACAGGCTGCAGTGTAACCACTAATGGCACATTCGCACTGTCCTTTTACGTCCACTAAAAGTGCTCATTTTTGCCACTGACAGGCTCAGATTGTTATTGTAAGTGTCTGACAGTATTATGGAAAGGATCCCTACAGAGATAGACTTTTTTGTTGAAGAGCAAGATCCTTTTTGTTTAACCAGAAACAGACCACCAAACCCACCAGACCCCATTTAAAAAAACCTTTAATTTTATTTTTCTTAACAAAAACAGGTTATTTAAAGTTAACAGAAACAAAATAACACTGACAAACATGTTTTAGATTGGCCGTCCACTGCCCCAACATTCACTAACTCTGGTTGGGTTGAAATAAACCTGTAATTCACCTAGTTAGATGTGAAAATAAGCTGGCGGTTAACAGTGAGAACATGCCCACAGTGGTTACATTGCGGCCTGTTTTGTGGTTGCTGCTCTCGCTTATCTCTGGACCAATTTCAGTTTCAACTTACCCTTAAAACTTTAGAATATAGTTCTTGTTCTGCTTGATTCTACATAAACAGTCTATCATGGCACGAAAAACATACACATAATTTATTTGTCTTGTATTATGCGTAAAATCGACAAACAATTGTTCATATGTTAATATGTACGTGCCAGAGTGTACCCAAAACTGAATACATAAGCAGATTAATGATAAGCGGAATTCGTCTCACAAGAGTGCTGATTATATCAGAGTTATTGAGTGTGGGCTTGTGATAAATGATGTGAGATAATGCAGTGTAGCCTAATGGGCTTTATTCTTTCTTATGTCTCAAGTTACTTGCTCAGGCTGTGCTGCAGCCTGGTGCAAACCTGCAATTCATCTTATGTTTTATTGATTTGATCGGCTTATGTTGGAAATATCACATTATAGTTGTGTGATGGCGTCGCATTTCAGTCGCTCTCTAATCATGAGGCATGCAGTGCATTAAATCTCCACGGGATTGCAGGCTTTGAGCTGAGTCAGAGGTGGTGTTTTCCTGGAAAGGCAGTGTGGGTACCTGTGGGAGGGAGCAGCAAAACAACAGTGGAAAGGTGCAGGGTGAATACATCAGACATCAAGCAGACCTCTGCAGCACCACTGTAAAGAGCAACAGCTATATTGTGCCAGTGTGGACAGAAAGTGAATATGTCAGGAAGGAAAATCTGCTCTTATCTCCCAACGCAGCTACTGCTACAACATGTAGCTGTCCTGCTGGTTGCACCATGTGCTGCCTCGCTTCCTGACAAATGGAGGAAAGGTCATGGTAAAGCATACACATGTCTATAACAAGAATGGATCTTTTTTATGTTTTCTGTTTGGGGACAGTGAAACCCAGAACAGCAGGAAAAATATTATGTCAAAGTGAAAAAATATCAAAAAACTAGAACTGCACAAAATGCAATGAATAAAGATAATCATATCGATAATATTTTTGATTAATTTTGCAGCACTACAACAAACTGATCTTAATAAAGTAGAAATACAAAACAAAATAAGTGTAAAAGTATTTACTCCCTCAGTATGACGTGTGACACTATGTCATATGACACCATGACTCTAGAAAAAGCAATTTAGATTAAATTTAAGTCATAAAATATCTGGTGGGTTTCACTGCTGGTTAATCAGTTTCCTAAAAAAACTGCATTTTGAAGAAATTAAAAATCAGTCCCTGAAAATTCTAAGGCGCTGAATAAGTACAACAAGAGCATTCATTTAAACAAATAGCTGTAAATTTGTTCACAGCCACCTATGCACAAACACAAGTGGTTGAGGCCACCAAGAGGCTCATGGCAACTCTGAAGGAGCTCCAAAGCTCTGCGGCTGAGAAAGAAACACTACACACGAAGTAACGGTTGTCTTGGTGATTTCAGCGGTCACAGCTGTTGAGAAAACTTGCACGACATCCTGGCCGGTGTCTGCTAGAAGATATGTGGGACACTGTGAATTAAAGTGAGAAAACGTTCTGTTGTCTGGTGAGACTAAAAGGATGCTTTGTAGCTGTTGTACTAAATTATTTTTTAATGTGAGCCTAACCCAATTTTCATAATGAAATCTGGTGGTGGTGGGAATCATGAGTTTGGGGAGGCCTTTAAGGCAAAAGAAAATTGAGGTTAAAATGAGCAACGCTGCAAAACAGATATCAAAACCTTCTAGTGTCTACTTTACTGTGATTTACTTTCAGGCAAAACAACAGCGAACATAAAGTCAGAGTAAAAGAGGAATTGCCTAAAAATAGCACCATTAATGTCATGGAGTGCTATTGTTTTGTTTTTTGGGGGCACGGGGATCCACAGTAGCTGTTCCCATGGCAACAGCTACTCTTCCTGGGGTCTATATCCAAATAGAATACATAGCAGTGTTTACACGTAGAGGAACTTTAAAAGTTAAAACATCAACACTGCATCTAATGGGAAGATTATATCAGTAGGCAACTTGGAGACATTTCACATCTCATCTAAGAGGCTTCTTCAGTTCTAACAGGCTGGTGCGGAGTCGCAGGCTTTAAACTCTGTGTGTGTGTGTGTGTGTGTGCGCGCGCGCGTGTGTGTGAGTGAACCCTAACAGAGTCCTTAAGGTCACATGTGAGCTCTGAGTTTCAGAGTCATTAAGGAGACATGTCAGTGGTTGACCCACCTGACCGTCACGTGGTTCCTTAGGGTTAGATGGATCCAGGTGAGAATGGGTGTTAAGTCATCTGGGGAGGAATCCCAAGACTGCATTGTAGGTGGGTGATAAGTGGTGTCGCAGGCCACCTCCCCTGTTTAACGATGGTCGTTCCATTTTGACGTAGATGGCTTCTTTCACGCCTCTTTCAAACCATCTTTCTTGTCTGGCCAAGATGTGAACATTGCTGTCCTCGGAAGAATGTCCCTTTTCCTGTAGCTGTAAATGTACAACTGAGTCTTGACCTGAGGAGCTTGCTCGTGGTTGTTAGGTTTCACCAGTGTACAAATCTGTGCATTCCTAGCTGCATCGAACTTCACGCTGGATGAACGAGAATCTTCATAAACAATAGTAGTCATAGATTATATTGCAATAGCGATGTATATTGTATTTTTACACATTTACAGTGCATTTGTAGACATTTGTTTTCACAGTTCCTGTTCATCAGAGCCAAAAGCAAATTGTGGACAGTCTTAAATACCACACTAGAACTGTCCCAGTTATGTGTTTTCTTAAGCAGTCTGTTCTTGGCACCGTGAACACAAAATAAAGCCATGTCTTGCACAGTAAGATGAGAAATTTTTGTGTGAATTTGTATTTTTATTTTCACTTGTTACTTACTCGCTCTCTCTGTCACTATGCTGGTAATGCCTTCACTGGTTACAAACTGAAGGTTGGAGGAGAGAAGGAAATCTTAAGATGAAGGCTTGAGAGACGCTCTGTGAAAAGCCCCAGAGTGAAACAGATGGTGCTGTTGAGACTGTCTGCAGATTCTTGAGTTCACTACCAGATGTGTGCTGCATCAGTTAAAGTGGGAGAGCGACCCGAGGCGATGGGAGAGGCCTGAACCGTGTCTGTCTGCAGCCTTATCGACCCACTCTTGCCTTTCCATTAAGGCACTTGAACGCTTGAAACGCTTCTCTTTTCCCCGTTTCTTTTATTCCTCATTCGCTCGGGGCTCTGCAGGCCAACACTGCTGCCATCACTCAAAGCTTATGATAAATCAATTCCGTCTTATCTCTTCTTGATATGCTCATATCCACACTTAAGGATTTAGGATGGCTCACAGAAAGTGCACTATCCTTAAGTGCACCACTAACCTGTGATTTCACTGCACTGCAGTTCCCCCCCTTAATGAACCCCAACAGGGTCTGTAGATGCCATTACATCATCGCCTCACCTATCAATGATTAAACAGGGGTAGAGGACAGACTGAGAGGAAAATAAAGCTGAAGCAGCAAAGTAAAGAAAGTGAAAAGTTAAAGGGTCACTTCTGTATTTGTCAACCTGAACCCTATTTTCACAAGTTTTGTGTGTACCGTATTTAAAAACCTGCCTGTGCCAGTACATTTTTATGAATTATTATCATTATTATGAAAATGTCATCAACTACAGCATTAAAATGGTTCAACTATATGCCTGTGCACTTGTTCATACATACTGTGTGTGATCCCAACCTGACAGCGTTGCCGTGGCCATTAAATCGCCATCTACCCTCATGTGCTTTCTCTGTTTTACCTATAATAAATATATATGGCCGTCTCCTCTGGCATCCCATCAGGCTGAAGAGGCGGAGACAGCTCAAGCAGAGCCAATCAGAGAAGAGTGTGACTGAGCAGAACTCGGCAATCATCTCCTGTCCAGATGTTCCAAATGACAGCGACCCCAACAAGAAGACGGACATACAGAGAATAACAGTAAAGGCACCTGCAGGCTCAGGTAAGACCTGTGTCATAAACTCACAAGGTGCACAGCGGGTGAAAACATGAGTACCTCGAGAATGGGGACGCTCTGCTTGGAGTACTACTGGTACTATTTGTCAGTGGTTGAGACAATGTGGAGGAGAACCGTGCTGTAATGGCTCCATTCAAAGCTGAAATAATACCTAATAAGAAAGAAATCTTGCTTTTCAGGCTTTTGTGTTTCAGCAAAATAGTTTTTTTGTTGCCCTCCATAAATTACCATTTCCACTCAAGCAATATGTCAGCTAGTGGTATTTGTATGACTGTCACTGTTAACCCTGTGAACCCTGCTCTGTGCAACACAAGGGTCCTCAGTGTTGGGAGCAAACTCAGCAGTTTTAAACAGGAAGTTGCATAACCTTTATCCTGTACCATTTTACTGTTGATGATGACATTCAAGAGGCTGCATTCACAAAGTTTGTGGGAACCAGTGCTTGTGTTAAATTACGATAACTATGATGCCTTTGACTTCTGCTTATAATTACATTAAATCCTTGCTGGATAGTAGTAGAAGTAGCAGTCTATTGAAATATACACAAACAGACAGTAATATTACCTTTAATTCTCACCTTCACCGTTTCCTCTAGCTAACATCTGTTTATACGATACCATTTCTAACTTGCAGTGGATAATTATAACAATAATAATAATAATAATAATAATGATAGTCTTTATTTATAAAGTGCTTTACATGTCAATACTTAAAACAGACAAGACATAAAAACATCAACTTTTAAAATAACTTATAAAAGCACTTTAGAGTATAAAAACTGAGGAAATAAAAGACAGTTAAAATGAACTTTAAACTAAAAAAAAATCAGGAAAAGCTCCGATAGAAGTATGTTTTAAGAAGGGACTTCACTGACACAGTCCACCTGATTTCCTTGGGCACATTGTTCCAGAGCCACGGGGCCCTGACAGCACATGGTCTGCTCCCTTTAGTTTTCAGCTGGGCCGGTTTTCACCTCTGCCCAAGGACCTCAAAGTACGTCCTGGAGTGTGAGAGACTAAGTGGTCGAAACTGGGACCATGAAGAGCCTCAAAGTAATCAGTAAAATCTTAAAATCTATTCTAAAATACACTGGGAGCCAGTGTAAAGAGGCTAAAACTGTAGTGATGTGATCACTTCTCTGGCATCTGAATTCTGTACAGTCTGCAGTCGATGAATAGACTTTTGATTCAGGCAAGAAAAGAGGCTGTTGGAGTGATCCAGGCGTGAAGAGATGAAGGCGTGTAAAATTGTCTCTGTGTCTTTAAAAGTTCAAATGGATCGTAGTTTTGAAATATTTCTAGGAGGATGAAAACATGATTGCACAAGCTTTGTGACACACTGCTCAAAACTTAAATTACTGTCAAACCAGACTCCCAAGACTTCCCGCAACTGGTTTGATGATGTACTTTTACATAATCTTAGGATCATTCACTTTGAGTAATATGACCCTTAAATGTGAAAGATTGATATTTTGAGGATGTATTTTCAAATATAGGACAAAATTGTTGAAAAGAAAGAATTTGTTATTGTGTTGATATTTGATAGGCAGACACACTCAGTGTGTATTTATAATGGACCAATGTCGAGATGAAATTAGATGTAGGGCTGCCCCCGACTAAGAATTTTCCTAGTCAACCAATAGTCGTCATTTAGGACCATTAGTCGACTAGTCGCCTGCATGTTAACGATATTAATTTAATTATTAAATGATATATTTTGGGCGGGGCAACACAATGGTTTGAGTTGAAGGTGTGAGAAAGAATAGTATCAGTAACATTGTTAACACTGTGCTACATTACAGAGAAATACAAAACCGTACTAATGAACCTTCATTAATATAGGCCTATATTTTATCTACAAGTGCACGTCACACACTGAGCGAGCCGCCTGTTAATGACACTGTCGGACCTGGAAATTAACGTGACTCCTGTCTGACTGCTGAGCGTGGCCACTTCCTGTGTCTGTCTTTTCAAATTAAGTAATTGAATTCCCACATGGTCCAGTCATATAGGTTTTGTTTTATTTTGTCAAGGCACAGCTCCTGATAGAGTTTCACGTGTGTTTGTTTTTGTCTGTGTCTAAGCGACCAATGAGATTTTGCTTACTAATGACCTTTCTGGTAGACGACTAGGGGGCAGCCGTATTTGTAATGGACCAGTGTCATTAAGACAAGACTTTGTTAATCCCACACTAGGGTTATGGCAGCTCAAGAGTCAGAAGCAAACGAAAAACAAAAAAAGTGAGTAGTAAATATGGATAAAAACATGACAAAAATACAAATTATATTGAAGGAAAATAGAATGATAGGAAATCAAAATACACTTTATGCACCTTTCACTTATACAGATACTGTTTGTCAGTTATTGATGGTTGCACTTACCATCAGAGCATATCTATGGCTTCCCAGCAAGCAATAGTTGTGATTTAAATGTATTGGCTATATTTAGCTCCGATTTAGTCTAGCTACATGTAACCCAAATCTAGCCGATTTAATTTTGAAATTGATTAAATGTAATTTTCGCCATTGCAGATGGCGTGCGGTATGATATTCAATTACGTATGGAGAGTCAACAGTAATTAAAATATGTTTATCTCCATTTTTTGGACATGGTCTCTACATAGCCATATAATTGATGACGTCTACACTTTGGCTATGGTTAGACGTCTACCAAATTTTCACTGACAGCCCAAATTCAGCCGTGATTTAGCCTAGACGTCAGGTCTTCATGTAGACGGCTATTAGACATTTTTTAAACCAAAAAATGCTTGCTGGGTTCATATGTGCCCAACAACAAAGCTAATCCGACCTGCATTTTTGTCTTCAGTGATACATTATGAGCATCATGCTATAATGTGTCACTGAACTGTTTTCAGCATCATTCATCACCTACTCCTTCATATTTACAGTGATAATGGACTTGCGTGTGCAGTGGGTCAGCCAGCTGTGTAAACTCTGCAGTATGTGCTTTAATAAAGCCACAAACATTCTTATCTGCAGCCCATTAAATCAAAATGATGCTCTGCAGTATAATAGACAAACAAAACTCTTCAGGTTATATATGAGCTTTCAGCTAAAAGTCCATAGTCTGCAATACTTCATAGCATATTATCAGTCGCAGCCCAGTATATTAATTCAATGAATAAGTGACAGTGCTCACAGAGGTGACAGCAGTCTTGGCTTTGATGCTCAGTACAGTAAAGAGCAGCTGGAGTCTGGCTGTCTAATGCTTAGTCATGCCCTCTGTTTCCATGGAGGAGGCAGCAGTGTAATTTAGCATTCAGGGAGTGGTACGTTAATAGCTTCTGTGTTCTTGGCAAGAAGAAATTGCTGACTGTGGATCTTGTCTACTACAAGGGTCAGATTGTGTGTGTTTATGATAACTGCTTCAGTATGCGTGGGGCAGTGTTTTAAGGCTGGATAATGATAGGAGACAAACAAGCACTGGTGCTGACTCAAAAGGCAATTAACCACAGGATATTTAGAAGTCGTCTCTTGTGGGGTACTTTCTCTTGCATCACCCTCAGTGGATGGTGTTTATCTTAGAAACATAAATATATCTGTTAGTAACCTAGAAAGTATGAGATGGAGCAACCCAATCTTCAGAATAAATGTTGGCATTGTTCATTTCTGCAAACTACAGATACATAAGATTTGTGTATTATTATGAAGTGGATATGTTGAAACTCTACATTTAAACAATGCTTTGGTTAATGGTGGCTACATTAGGGCAAAAAAACACTTGGTTAGAATTAGGGAAAAAATTGTTTTGGTTTAAAATACCCAGTTTTGGTGGCACGGTTGCTGCCAATGTCTCGCTAATAAACTCCTAGTTTGGTTGGTACAATGGCTGCTGGAAATACCTTGATTTCTTGCTAGAAAACACCCAGTTATGGCAGCATAACCACTGACAGAAATGCTGCCACTGTCTTGCTAAAAGACCCAATTTGGTTGGCATAATCACTGCTGGAAATGCTGTGGTGTCCCGCTAAATAAATCCCAGTTTGGTTGGCACAATCACCATAGGAAATGCCACCAATGTCTTGCTAAAAACAACCATTTTGGTTTGCATTATCACTGCTGGATATGTCATGTCTTGCTGAAAAAAAAAAACAGTTTAGTTGGCGCAATCACCACTCGAAATGCTGTGATATCTGTCTAAATAACACCTAGTTTGGTTAGTACAGTGGCCGCTGGAAATGCCATGATGTTTCGCTAAATAACACCCAGTGTGGTTGGCACAATCACTGCTGGAAATGCTGTGATGTCTTGATATAAAAACCAAAAAAACAACTGGTTTTGTTGTTTGTTGGTCTCGAACAGTGGTCTGCAATTTGGCAGTCATCTTGCCTAGGTCTTGCGACATCCACCATCCCCTCCGCCTCCTGATGACAAAGTTAGCTCATATACATGTAATCTGAACTAGGTCACTTTTGAAACATCGATATGAAACCTACAAATGTAAGTTATCTGTGGTTTTCAGAAATGCACTGCCTACATTTCCTTCTGGCGGCTGGGCTGGGTGTACAGAATAACACCATATATTAATTTCTTACAAGTCCTTTTCTTGTTTTCTGTTTCCCTTGTAGATGATGGCTGTAAAAGTAACAATCAGGCGAAGAGGGAGAAGAAGAGACCACCAGGAACAGTGGAGTACTTTGTGAGTAAAACTACAGTGAAAACACAGTTTAAATAACATGCTGACTTTTTAGCAGAAAGCTTGTACCTTGCATTGTGTGGTATTTTCACCTGTGTGCCTTTTTAAAATGTTCACAGAGGAGTTCATCTCTTGTTACAGGTGGGACCAGATGATTCCCTCAACAGCATTGCACTCAAGTTCAACATCACCCCAAACAAGCTGGTTCAGCTGAACAAGCTCTTCTCTCGCAGTGTCTACCCCGGTCAGGTGAGAACCTCGACAGTAACCAGAACCATTGCTTCAGATCTGTCATTATTCCTCTGAATGTCTGGCCAATCTCCTGTCCATCATCGTTACTACAGAAACTGTTTGTTCCTGACGTGAGCCAATCAGAAACTGACCTGAAGTCTCAGAGTTCCTCTGATCCCTCCTTCACAAATGGCTCATTGGAGAAAGCACCACATGTGAGTAAAACCTGATTCATTATGTTGCTAAAAGTACATGGCATTATACAGTAGCTTAAAACAGCCGTTTTGGGACAAATTTGTTCAAAAGGTTGTTAAAAGAAGACACGGTGCCCCCCCCCCTCAGTCCTTTTGTGTTTTCTGTCTGAATCTTAAGTATAAAACTTTTTAAAAATGGCAGATAACATTTAAATCCACCTTTGGTTTAATTGTATCAATAATACTTTACTCTAGGGTCTGTTTAAAACCCGGTTCAGACCAAAGATTTGCGATGAGAAGAGTTAAAACAGGCATGTACTTGCAATGCGCTGTTCTGTAATGTTCTAAAAACCTGCCGGTTCACACCAATGCAACTAGATGAGATGGTGTATCACCTCTATACAACAACTCTCTGTGCTTCTGTTCTGATTTCCAGCTTTTCAGGTTTATTTTGTGGCTGAATATAATTTGTAGCTTCTTAAAATATGAATGAGGATAGTGATAGTGAGATACTTGCAGTGAAGAAATGCCTCCATGGTGAAAAGAGAATCCAAAAAAGGTGAATGTTCTTAAACTACAGGAAAACTATATCAAAACATGCATTAACAAACTCTCACACAACTCCTGCAGTATAATCCAAGTCTCATTTATCCAGTCATATGCTCAATGCTTCCCAAACACATGCATTTTCACTAAAACGTTAAAATATGTAAAAAAAATCTTTGCCATTTTTTTCTTCATTCATCCTGGAGGCATACAGGAAAAATAACATTTTATTTATGAATTCAAAGTAACGCATGGTGAGTAATTATTATACAAATGGCCATTTTGTGGGTGAAGTATTCCTTTAACAGGAGTCTCTTTGGTGTGTTTTCAAGCTTTGTCCCAAATTGTCCGTCTAGACTGGATCTCTAACTGAGGCAATTTTGTTAAAGTGAAATTATGGCTCTGATGCTACAAAATGTTTTATTATTCTCTTGTAATTCAATTTCTGATTCCCCTCCATGATGGATTGCAAATTTAATTGATGGCGTGAGTGAGCAGTTTTTATTGTGAAGTGCATAAACAATTTAGACTGAATATTTTTCCATGGAAGGTAATTTAATCTACCAGCATCTGACAGTCGAGTGAAAAGTTACTTTTGGGCATAACTTTAAAAAGTGGGTACTTAATATAAAATGCTCTGGTGGCCTGAAATCTCTGAATCAGTGAAGGTCAAAGGCACCCTTCAGCACAAGCATAACATTTTGTACTCTCTTGTGTCTTTAACTTCCTTCAGGACGGAGTTTCAAACTGCACGTCAGCAAAGTCCCTCCGGCGTGAGCTGTCCCCAAACTCAGAGGATGAGAGCCCGGCAACGGTTAAATTCATCAAGATGAGCTGCAAATATTTCACAGACGGCATGGTAAGAAAATAGATAATGGCATGTAATAATTCAAATTAATGCCACAACACTTATTAGATTTCCTGATATTTTATTCACTAAATAAAAACTTTTCTATCAGCAGGTACCACTTGTATTTTGTTAGTTTTCAGATGTTGCCTCCTTCAGCACTGCCGTCTGTCTGTGTGTTATTTCATTGTTGCAGGGAGTGGTGGGTGGCGTGCTGATTGTGACCCCCAACAACATCATGTTTGACCCGCACAAGTCAGACCCCCTGGTGATCGAGCATGGCTGCGAGGAGTACGGCTTGATCTGCCCCATGGAGGAGGTCGTCTCTGTGGCGCTGTATGACGACGTATCACGCATGAAGCTGAAAGATGCTCTGCCGTCGTAAGAGTTCCAAACCATATCACTTTCCTCATTTCCCTCTTCTAACAGTTCTTCGTCCAGCCCGCAGCTCTGACTCCGTCTGTCTTGTTCCTCTTTACAGTGTCTATCTCTCTTGTTCTTCCTAAAAGTAAATCTGGTTGTACAACGCTCTTTGGATTTACAGGACTTTACACATTAACCTCTTTAACACATCCCTTTTTATGAATCACCTTTGTTTCCACTGAATGTTAAGTTAAAATCTCTCTGAGTCCAGTTGTTATAGTTTTGTGAGTTTTCATTTTAATGTTTTTATTTGATCTTCATTATTTATTTTTTATTTTTGATTCATCTGCTGTTGTCTACAGAAGCCCTGAGAGGCAAGTAGGAAAATAAATTCTGGTGACCCATTTAAGTAGTTTCTCTCCTGTGTTTAAGACTTAAAAACAGGTGGGAAAAAGGTAGTTAAAAAAGAGGAGCTACAGCCATTTTCAGAATTCATATGTGTTATTTCTATGGTCAGTGACAGCCCCAAAAATTAAGGAAAGTAAACAGCTCTCTAAAAACTAGTCTGCTTAAACTCAAATATGTGATATCAAAAAGTATAAAATACGGAGCTGTTCCACAGACAATGAATTGGGAAAGATGATATAGATGACAACAACTGAAGCCTCTAGAGCCACTCGTCTCAAGGTGTCAGTCAGTTTAACATCTGCCCGGTTAGCACAAGCTAACACAACAGCAGCAGCCAACATCCAAAATCGAACTGTTGAAAGGTCTTAACACACCTACTCCAACACCGAAACACCTTGAACCTGTCGTCAAACCTGTTAATAACCTTTAGGTAACGTTAGCCGTGTGATGCTCCTGCAGTAGTAGTACAATTAAACAATATTTTACCCATTTTAAATAGTAAAAGAAAAATTCATGTTCTACCCTACTAAACACAAAGTACATATCTATAGTTGTTATGTAAGTTCAGTTCAGTTCAGGACGAGATGTTACAATCCCTGATGCACATGCTTGAGACTATGAGTGGGAGTAATAGTGCTGTCTGGGGGTCAGAGTGGGAGCCAAAGGGTTAGTGGATAGGAAAGAAGGAAAGAGCAAAGGTAGATAGAAAAGTAAGGAGTAGCATAGGGAAGACAGAGACAAGGAGAGACGTCTGTGCAGACTGAAGACGTACACTCTACCTCTCCTACTCCCTCATTTTGATGAGGGAAGAGAGGGGAGAAGAGAGAAGAAACTAACAAGAGAACAACATACCTAACTTTAATCAAGGTGGAGTTTAACTGGTTGATTGTTGTTGCGCATAATTGTTGTCAGTGGTATTTTAGGGCCCAAGTGGCGTCTTTCCTCCTAATCCATAGCCACCAGCTTGCCTGTTCGGCTGCACCAGAGAGGGCTCTGATGGCCTTTAATTTCTATTTCTTTTAGCAGCCTGGTAGTTGGCTTGCCTACAAAGCCTCTGCAACCCACTTCAGCTTGGTAAATCTTTGCTTTCCAGCCGAGTTGCTCAGCGTCAGATTTTTATTAATGCCATATCTTGTCATGTCTGTCATGTCATGACATGATGGCAATGCATGGAGAAATTATAACTCAGATGGAAGAAAACTTCATGTTTTCTTCCATCTGCTGTTATTTAGAACATGAAGAAGTGGTGCACGTCAGCCTCTTGTGGCCAAAATGAGTATTAGTAACTAGGATCTGTGTCACAGATGAAAAAAAATCAATTTCAGGAATCAAAACCTTTTTTTTTTTTTACCCATTGTTAAGTCATAAACACAGGAGAGAGAAAACAACTTAGATCAGACTTAGAAAATAGATCCCCAGTTCTTGTTTCACTTCTCTCTCAGAGCTTCTGTAGTTTCACATCACGTTTGTTTTGTATCATTCTGGTCATTTATAATTTCTGTTTGGACCTTTTCTGTTTTTTGTTTTTCCCTTTTCATCTTCATCCTGGTTTGCGGTGCGGTATGTGTGATGCCCCGTGACCCCACAGAGACCTACCCCAGGATTTGTGTCCTGTGTACAGGCCCGGCGAGTGGGAGCAACTGCCGTCAGAGCGAGACCTAAATCCCTTCAGCCGCTACGAAGCCCTCGATCCGAAGCGACCAATCGTCTTAGACGACATTGAATCAACCCTCTCAGAAACTGGTAACATCATGTCATCCATTGTTGACTTTATTAGGCTGTAGAGGGTCTGAAGTGATCCTGTTCTTAATCATAGTTTTGTATGTTTTGGCATTTTGATAATAGAGGGATTTGATGAAGAGATAAGTGAGTTAATTAAAGAGGAAGAGATTTTACACTTACTTCTACTGAGAAGACAATGGGAGTGCAAGAAAAGGAGGTGGTCAGTGCATCATTTGAACCAAATAAGGGAGCTACAGGGTGAATGCGTTTTGGCCCAACAAATGTGGGGCATGGGTGATGAGATGCGCTTTTGTTATTTTTGGATATCTGCCAACTGTTTTGATGATCTGGTCAACCTGAGTCGGACCAGTGTTGCTCACACTGGGACAATCAAAACTCCAGTAGATGTGTCAGAGAGGCCTTCTGTGACAATCTTACCACATTGTGCAACAAAATATGACGGTGTCTGGACATAACAAGATTCTCCAGGTGCCCAAGCGACACTCTTATCTGTCCAAAGTACATGATTTCTGTCAAGTGACAGTTGTCAAAAGTGTCAAGCGCCCTACCATAAATCAAGCTTTAGTCTTCTGTGATGCTAAGTTGAGTATCTTTGGGTTTTCATTTTTGGTGGGGTCATCATGATGGCCATTTTTCACTATTACCTGCCATCATACAAACCAAATAAATAATTATAATCCAAAAATAAATCTACAGATTTACTGATAATGGAAATGTTTTGATGTGAAACAAATAACTGTTTCATCTTCTTAATACCGGGGAGCACAGAGGGCGAGCAGACAGCCAAGTCTCCGTCAGACGAAGGATTCACAGAGTTGGAGCCGACTGTCAACGGGAGCACTGAAGAAGCAGAGGGGACATCCTCCTCCAAAACACCCAGCATCATCAGCAGGGACCAACAGGAACTAGGACCAAGCTGCCCGGGCCGAGGAGACTTAAAAGACAAATCAATCGTGGGGCAAACTAAAGGGAAGCTGGATGATGAAGAGGATGAAGGCGTAGCTCAGAACAGCTCCATTGAGGATGGAGAGTCAGTAAAATCCTCTTCAGAGACTGAAAAACAGGGTGACTCACACGATAAACCTACAAACCGAGAGGAAACCAAAGATATAAAAGCTAAAGGGACCGAAGAGCTGCTAAACGGTGCACCTGAGAAAATAATCGGCGCACCAGTGGACCAAAACAGGAAATTGAGTCTGAAGGAGGCTGCAGACGTTTGTGGGAACTCGAGTCTGAGGAGGCAAAGCCCAGACGGACCAGCAGGTGGGGCTGATCTCAGCGAGGAGGAGAGACGGAGGAAAAATTATGAGGCAGAAGTGAAGTCGTGGCTGCTGGAGAGGATGCAGGCACCAATAGAAGGTAGGGATCATAAACCATAAACCATCATTTTGGGTGTTAAATGTCTGACAGTGGGGTTGCTGATGGAGGCTGCAGTGACATGATGGAGTGTGATATCAAACTAACCAAACTCTCTCTCCATAGACATGCTTTTCTCATCAGAGGAGAAGAGTAAAATCCCACCTATGTTCCTATGCTTCAAAGTGGGGAAGCCAATGAGAAAGTCCTTTGCCACCGGGATGACCTCTAGCCCCGCCCACTCATTCGGGGGCTGGGGTAAACAGCCGGAGTACTGGTTCGCTGTGCCACAAGAAAGGTGAGACGATGAAAGATGATACTGGACTCTTGTCTTCAGCTAACAATGTGCCTTTAACCAAACCACTACACTGTATGCATGTGTTTGTGTGTGTGTGTGTGTTTGTTCCAGGGTGGACCATCTGTATGCATTTTTCGTCCAGTGGTCTCCAGACGTGTACGGGAAGGAGGCTAGAGAGCAGGGCTTTGTTGTGGTGGAGAAAGACGAGCTAGACATGATAGACAACTTCTTCAGTGACCCTGCATCCTGCAGCTGGGAGGTGAGATCAGTATAAAAGCAGGCAGACCACTCATTTCCCTCTACTTACATACCCTGTTTGACACAGGCAATGAAGTCTTCTTTTCTTCCATCTTGATGGAAAACATCATGTGGTCAGGAAAGGTGAAGGATTCTGGAAAAGATTCTAGATGTTATTGATGTGGGTCTGACACGGTAAAGCACTTTGTAACATGGGTTTTTAAAACTGTTAAACCATTATTATTATTATCTTGGATACTTCTTATGGTGTTGTTTCATGCATGCTATATAAACATGGACAACCTGGTAAAAATATTACTCCATTACTAAGGTTGGAATTGAATTTAAAAAAGGACTGTAGGCTAACAGTGACAAAAATGAAACAAAATGGTCGTCACATTAAGAACGGTTGCTCACACTCTCCCTCTTGTCCACTTGTAGTCATCGAAATGAATCCCATCTTGAAAGATTGTATAGAAATAATTGTGTAACAGGGCTCAAAAGTGGTTGCCAGGGTGTCATGAACTTTTGGTTGCTGACAAAATACGCTAGCCATTTTTAGTCACCTCATATCATGAGTAATTAGGTATTATGCAGTTATACGTCTTCTTGGTAATAGAAATGTGACATAAAAAGTGTTTATTCCACCTTGCGAAGGGCTCATTGGGTGAGTGAAGTATCAATCAAAAAGTATTAAGTGCAAGTGTCCTTCAAAAACAATGAAGCAACAAGCTGCAGCAGACACAGACCCTGATGAGGACCTGTCTGTTGCAACGTATTGGTCTTTTTAATCTATATTGCCATGTGAAATAAAGGCATTTTAATTTTTGCACAAACCCTACAGTGTGCCTTGACTTGTTTGTGAAGGACACTTATGCTTCACTTATGCAATGAGCCCTTCACATGATGGAACAAACACAGTGCACCTGAAGTATCCAAAGAGCACCTGTATGTGACTATGACTAAGACCCAGCAGTGGTTGTGCTCCTTTGTCTTCGTGGCATGAAAAGTGTTTTAGAGCTTTATCACAGGAACCAAACAACATTCTTTGTAGTTTGTTTTATCTGTTACTTTACTGGATTTTAATCTTTAGTGTAGCTTAAGTTGCTTTGGCCTTGTCTCTAAAACAGATGCATGTGCGCATAAGAGAAAATACACCAACATACATGCAATGTTGTCCGGTCCCGGTTCTGACTGTGGCAGCAATATTTGAATATTACTACTGCAATAAATATTAAACAATGTATTTATTCTGGGGTGCATTGTTTGTTGTCCCTATTTTTAATATGTTAAAAAGGCCAGGAATTGGTTGGCAATTTCTCATTATGATTGCCTGATTCAACCTGGCAACCGTTACTGTCAAGCCCTGTTAACTTTATGCATCATAGGCATATCGTAAATGGTGCATTAGTGCATCACTTTTAATGTTCCTGCCACAAGTAAATGTGGGAAGGCATTATCTTGTTACCTTTAATAAGGGATGGTTCAGTGTATCCTATATGAAAGGAGAAGCACTGAAGCATCTTTCCTTGGCACTGAGACAGTTGAGCAGATCTTATCACAGCTGCTACTTTACTTCTGGGTCATTTCACTCATTTAGGAACCATCCTAAGCAAAAAGGACTGTTCGACTGCAGCCTTTGTGTCTTGATTTCTCTTAATGTTGGCTTGTTTATGTGCTTGTTTCACTCCAAGATCATCACCATTGATGAGGCGAAGCGTAGGCAGAGCTTCGGCAGCTGTGACGGAGAATTATCGGTGGATGCACTGCCCCTACTCAGTGACACCAGTGATCTGCTGCAGGACACGCACATTGAGAAGGTATGTTTTAATTCAAAGCAGTTGCCTCCAGCTGGTTATTTACCACATATAATAATCTAGTTACTGACAACGCACTGATGAGTATGCCTGGTAATCTGATGATGTGATTGCCCTCCAGCTTGCCTGTCGCCTGCCAGCCCGTGTGCAGATTTACCCCTGGAGACTGGCGTACAGCACTGTGAAACATGGCACCAGCCTGAAGACTCTGTACAGGAGCCTGGCAGACGTGGACAGCCCCGTGCTGCTGGTCATCAAAGACATGGATAACCAGGTAGATCCTGTCCAAAGGAAGGTGTTTTGTGGAAATGAGTGGGGCCTCACTGGCTTATAATGCTGTGGGTGAACCGCAGTCTAAGGGGGACAGGGAGGAAACAGAGGAAAATGTACCACTTACATTGTCGTTGTATTTATATTAGCATGTTAGCTAAAATTGGGTAGCAAGCTAGCTTTCTGTGTGCGTCACTGCCCACATTGAACACAAAAACACTGGACTTTGGTGTCTTGTACACTGCTGTAAAATCTTATGCTGTCAGAATCATGAAACTTCACACGAGGGTTTTAACCACTGGTTTTATTTGTTCCAAGTCTTTTTCAACCTTAAACTGAATCTGACTCTTATCAGATTTTTGGAGCTTTCTCGACTCATCCCTTCAGAGTGAGCGAACACTGCTACGGCACAGGAGAGACATTCCTCTACAGCTTCTGTCCTGAGATCAAGGTTTGTACGAAGATAGTTTAAGAACTCAGTTTGGGTGTTTAGCTTTATTTCTCAAGTTGTAATATCAGACCATTTGCTCTCCATTTTCAGGTGTACCGCTGGACGGGGGAGAATTCTTACTTCGTGAAGGGCAATACTGATTCTCTGCAGATGGGAGGAGGAGGGTGAGTAGACCTATGAGCCACGCTGGAAATTACAGGCTTGTTAAAGCTGGAATGGGGAACTTTTGTGTTCTCCCTCTGGCAGTGACGCTACAAATATAAACACTGACGAGACATGCTCATAACTTATGCCTGCAGGCAAGCTCGCCGCTTCTCCCCGCCCCCAGGAGAGCTCTCTTCAAGTCTTTTTTTAAAAAATTTTTATTGAAGGGTTCACATGAGGTTTTGTCTTTTTTAAAATTTTAACACATTATTATCTTGCAGAACACTCTTCCTCTCCCTTCATCCTCGCCTTCATGATGTCCCACCTGACATCATAGTTTGATTTTACTTCGCTCCACTGATAAAACACTGGCACAAGCAGTAGGTCTTTGCTGGCATGGATAAACTTACGTGACTTGACCTGAGCTAATTTTTCAAGATGATTAATTTTCCTCACTTTTCAGCAGTGCATTACTGTAATAGCTTTCTGTGCAACCTTTGTTTGGATTGGAACTTGCTCACCACACAAGAACGTGGTGCATCACAGTAGTATAAGCACCACAGGTCCCATCATGCAAATGTTTTGTTGAGGATTTTACACAGTTATGCCTAAAAAGACTTTGATAAGTAATCTTTGACTGAAAAGAGAGACACTGATTGCATTATTTATTTGTTTAATAAAAAGTTAAACTTGAAAATGAATTATTTGCTTCAAGTGACGTACTTGAAAATGAAAAAATAGTACTCAACAAAGTACGTGAAAGTCCTTGAATTTCATTTTGTACTGTCTGCATGACCCCTGTTCTGTACTCCCAGCTTCTGCTCTATCGCTATGGTCTCTCTTCCCTTCGTTCGAGTTACGTACATACAGGTGAATAATATATTTTGGGCGGGGCAACACAGTGGTTTGAGTTGAAGGTGTGAGGGAGAATAGTATCAGTAACATTGTTAACACTGTGCTACATTACAGAGAAATACAAAACCGTACTAATGTACCTTCATTAATATAGGCCTATATTTTATCTACAAGTGCACGTCACACACTGAGCGAGCCACCTGTTAATGACGCTGTGGACTAATGGGCATGTAGCTACTTCCATGTTTCAGATGATACGTCATGTTTGTAGTCGACCAATGAAGATGAGTTTACATATCACCTTGGGTTCGTCCTTCACCTTCTCAAAATGATCCCACACTTTGGATTTCCTGCCCGACATGTTAATAACTAGCCTGTGGAATAACCGCAGGTACCAGCCCTGGAAATTAACATGACTCCTGTCTGACTGCTGAGCGTGGCCACTTCCTGTGTTTGTCTTCTCAAATTAAATTCCCACATGGTCCAGTCATATAGGTTTTGATTTATTTTCACAGGGCACCGCTCCTATTAGAGTTTTATGTTTGTTTGTTTTTTATTTTTGTTTTGTTTTTTTCTGCGACTAAGCAACCAATGAAATCTTGCTGACTAATGACCTTTTTCCTACCTCAAATGTTTTCCGAAACACATTTTAGTGTACTGTTTAGCTGTAAAATGAGAGAGTCTGTCTCCTTTCACCATATTGGAAACAGTCGAGCCAAAACAAAACACCACCGACTGGCCAAGCAAAGTTTCTGAATACATTTGAGGTGAGAAATAGGCAATGCAGTAACAGGATCTTGATTCATATATGTGACGGCAGTTTGGGAGCAGTGATCAATATGATTGACAGCTGCGTTAGAGACTCCTCAGGGCTGACTGGTTGTTTTCGGTGAGACACGGTAGATTCTAATGAAGCAGTAGAAAGAAGAGGAGGGACACGATTGTTTTCAAGGATTATTAATATTTTTAAACCCTTGTTTGCCATCAAATAACATCCACCTGTTTCCTGACTTTCCTCCGCAGTGGTCAGCTGGGTCTGTGGCTGGACGCCGAACTGTACCGAGGCACCACCACCAAATGCGCCACCTTCAACAACCAGCCGCTCTCCGCCCAGCAGGACTTCAACATCCACAGCGTGGAGGTGTGGACCTTCGAGTAAACTCACCTGCTCCCAGCTACTCCGACATTCACTCTCCGCTCCGAACCCTCAGACACCCCAAGTCTATTACGCACCACTTGGAGGCAAATCTAGCTACCCCACAATGACACTAAATGTTGTGTGAGAGAAGCGTGTGCAGTCGTTACGTTGACCTGAAACGTCCGTCTTCTGTAGCCTGTTCCGAGGTGGGTTTGACCTGCAGGTAGGTCGGCCAGTTCACGTCTGGTTCCTCCTTCCTTTGAATGTGAAGTGTGAGAAAGTGTTGCTCAGTTTATTGGCTGCCTTAGACATCCGTCGACGCCTCCAGCTTTCCCAGCATGCAGACTGCCTTACCACCAAAAGCTTACGAAGAGAGGAAGCTGCTGATGTTACTGTCGAGGTTATCACAAAAAACCGAAGTGTGTATGAAAGAACAAGGTATCCCATAATGCTGTAGGTCGATTTGTTCAGATGTAATTAGTTTGGGAATGTACAGGATTGTGTGCTGAAGACGTTTGAAACTTTTTTTATGAAGCGATGAATTTCAAGCTTAAAGGAAGGGAGTTTTTTTATTTTTTTTTATTTATTTTTTTTGATCGTCCACCATTAAATTAATTTCCAGAGCGGAAAATGTTGTAATTGTTTACAATGAAAGTGCTGCACTTCCTCTGATGGCCATCTTGTTCTCTTGTCTTTGAGTTTTAGATGAACCGAATGAGAATGTTCCATCGCATTTACTCACAAGTACTTATTTTAATTCCCCTGTACAATCCAAAACAAAGCCAGGTTCGCAATGACCAAATATGTTTTTATTTTAATTTCACATACTGTTGTGAGCTCATCATATTTTATAAAATATTTTAGATTTTTTTATTTTTGCATTTTATTTTTACATTGTTTTTTTTTTTTATAAAGTCGTGTTGTTTTTTGTTAGTGGTTGTACTTTTATAGAGATGTTGTAAAATGTTTTCGATTGGACCCAACAAGCACTAGAAGTGATTGTTTGTCAGTATTGAATTCATATCTCATTCATTCGACTGAATTTATAAATATGATTTTCATTTGTGGTCGTTGTTCAGAGAGCCAGTACAAGTTTAACATGATGTCACTTTGCACTACGGTATTAATCGACAGTCAATGCTGTGTTGTGGCCCTGTGTAATTAAGCATTTCCTCCATGTAAAAATTGTTACTGAATACTGTTGCATCACCACTGCAGGAGGGGAAGCTTCCTGTCCAGCCACAGGTCAGCCTCTGCTTTACTTAAAAATGGAAAAGGGACCGTGTGTTTTTGCACTCTTGATATGCCACTAACTAAAAATTCAGATCTACTAACATGGAAAAGAAATGTTCGTTTATATCCCGTGTATCCAACACAGGCTTGTAGTGCATGTATATGCAGTACTGCAAATGTCTGACACCACTGTTATGATGATACCTGCCATACTCTTCACTAATGCCAGTTATCGCTTCATGTGAAAATGAGCTTTGTTGTCTTGTGTTGTAACTGTGAATGCTCCCTGAGTATTATTTCTTGTGAATCCAAAACTGCTGTGATATCACTAAGGATCTATTTATTGTGTTGTTATTGCAACCACATTTAAACCTAAATAAATGTTAAATATATACAGATATGATCATTGGCTGTGTTGTTTAAGTCCAATTTTATTTCCATGTGTTCCAGTTCCAGTTTTCTGGAATTTAAAGGGTACGTTCAGTAATTTTTAACGTGGACCTTTTTCCCATGTTGTTGTGTCTAAGTGATGAATCGAAACATGTTCTGAAACTGGTTCAGCATTGAGTGAGAGGGCTGCAGCCAGTCGCAGCGAAAACAGGTTGCAATGTAACCACCTGGGGCATTTGTTTACCGTCAATTTACATCAACTAAAACTGCTTTTTTTCGCCACTGACAGGCTCAGGTTATTATTCTAAATCCATCTATCCATCTATTTTCAGCTGCTTATCCAAAGCCAGGTTGCGAGGGCAGCAGGCTGAGCAAAGTATTCCACATGTCCCTCTCCCCAGCAACGCTTTCCAGCACGTCCTGGGGGACCCTGAGGCGTTCCCAGGCCAGATAAGATATGTAATCCCTCAAGTGTGTTCTGGGTCTGTCCGGGGCCTCCTACCTGTGGGACGTGCCTGGAACACTTCTAACAGGAGGCTGCAGGAGGCATCCTGATCAGATGCCCAAACCTTCTCAACTGACTCCTTTCATTGCGAAGGAGCAGCGACTCTACTCCGAGCTCCCTCTGGAAAAGGGATCCCTACAGAGACTGAGACTGGCGCTTATTTTGTTTCTGTAGACTTCAAAATAAGTAGTAATAAGTAATAGTTTTATGGTGATAAAATTACAGTTTATTTGAATGGAGTCTGGTGGGTTTGGTGATAGTGATTTTGAGGCTGTTAATGATAAAACAAACAGGATCTCACTCATTACCAGAAAGGTGTACCTCTGCAGGGGTCCTTTCCATAATGTCAGACAGTTTAATAACAACCTGAGCCTGGCAGTGTCAAAAACAAGAACTTTTAGTGGATGTACATTTTTACAGTCTCACTCAACACTGGATGGATTTCAAGAAGTATTATTTCCATCAGTCACTTTGACACAAACATGAGCAAACAGGGTCCAGGTTGAAAAATACCCAACTTCCCCTTTAATGTCCAGATTATATTTAACACAATTGATTTTACCGATCATTAACACTGGCCTCTTTGTGTCTTGTTACTGTGTGACTGAGGACTCAGTTACTGTGATCAAATTACAGCGGGACATCCTCACACAATAGGAGGAAGTCATCACCCCCTCAAAGATCCATAATTAAGAAGATGAAACACTCGGGAGATTGTAACTGACTCACTCAGGTCTAAATTAAATTTATTGAAAGGAAGGAAGAATAGAAGAATCAGAGGTTTCACTCCACCTCTGATTTCAGGCACCACGTTTTTATATCTTAAATTTGATTGGCTTACGTCATAGAAAATATTTATAGTTTTTTATCAAAGCTACATAAAACTTAAACTATCTACAATTCATTACATTGCATTTCTTCCTCTACAATATCCTTGAAATACGTTTTATTTATGTTTGTACAGACAGTAAAGAGATGGCAACTGTATGCCTACAGTGTTTGGTGTGAGGGCTCAGGGAAACTAGACCGAGTGATATCTCTTCGCAAACATAGACGATCTCCGGCAGGTTTCCAGCCTATGACAGAGAAGTTTCCCAGCAGAGACCTGAAACAGGAAGAACTGACACTTTTCAGATAAACATTGGAAACATGGCGAAAGACAAACCTGACTCAAATGAAGAAAATGATGAAACTTGTATTTTCTGTTTGATAGCCAACGAGCAAGACAAAGAAACGCGAATCATTAAAAAGGTAAGATACTTTTTAAAGGTACAGTTTTCAAACTGTGGGTACAACTCATCTTTCCCGGTATGTTACACTTTTACGTCAGCTGTGTTGTGGGTTAAACACGTTTTGGTTAAACTTAGGAAGTGTTCTACTTCTGGTTTTATCTGTTCCCTTTATACATCCATGCTGTACTCTTTCTTACACAAACATACACTCTTCTCCTACATCATATTGTACATGTAGTTTATTAAGACAAACTTAAATTTTCTTCATACATTTATATATTAGTAATAATATTAATGTATTAAATTCTGTACATTGACTGCATGTGCATAAGAGCAAAATGTAGCTATGAATGTGTGTTCAAATATATGAATAGAAGAGAAAAATGTATGAATGTATACATGAAAATATACAGTTCAGATATGAGAGTGAAAATGTATGAATGTGTGAATGAATATAGATAGATAGATAGATAGATAGATAGATACTTGAGTCAAATGTATGAATGAATGTAAGAATGGGTTAGTTAGAAAATATATGAGTAAGAGAGTAAAATGTATGAATGTGTGAGAAAAAATATATAGTATAAATACGAGTTTGAAAATATGTAATTTTGAGAATTAACAGTATTAATAACTGTATTAATGTCAATTAAAAAAGTTTAGAAAAAAGTAAAAAATATGAAGGACTGAGTGGAAAAAAAGTGTAATATGTATAAAGATGTGAATTAAAATATATGAAAACTAGAGAAAAATGTATGAATGTGTAGGTGAAAATATATACAGTTTAGATATGAAAATATTAAGATATTTAAAGGAGAGACAAATGTATGAATAAACGTGTGAATGAGTTTGTTAAAAAAATATAGGAGTGAAATGTATGGAGTGAGTAAAAATATATAAAAATGAGAGTGAAATGTATGAATGTGTGAGTAAAAATATACAGTATTAAATAAGTTTGAAAATATATACATTTAAGAGTCAAGTGTACTTAATGTGTTCGTTAAGAATATATATGAATAAGAGGGTTAAATGTATGAAGGAGTGAGTAAAATATATAAAGATTAGAGTAAAATGTATCAAAGTATGTGTTAAATTGTACAAACATGAGAGTAACAATGTATGAATGTGTGCATGAAAGTATACAGTATAAATATTAGTTTGAAAATATATACATTTAAGAGTTAAACATAGGAATGAATCTATGAATCTGTTAGTTTAAAATACCTATGAAAATGAGAGTAAAATGCATTTATGTGTGTGTTAAATTGTACAAACATGAGAGTGATAATGTATGGATGTGTGCATAAAAATATACCAAATAAATATGAGTTTGAAAATATATTAATGTGAGAGTTAAACTTATGAATAAAATGTAGGAATGTGTTAGTTAAAAAAAAATATAAAAAAGTAAAATGTATGAAAGTGAAAATATGTTGAAAAAAATGTATAAATATTTGAGTTAAAATATATGAATATTATAGTAAAATGTATGAATGTGTATGTGAAATTGTACCGCTCTGATATGAGAGTGAAAATGTGTGAGTATAAATATACAGTATAAATATGAGTTTGAAAATATATAAATTTGAGAGTTAAATGTATGAATAAATGTATAAATGTGTTTAAAATAAATTTGAATAAGAGAGTAAAATGTATGAATATGGGTAAAAATATACACTGGAAATATAAGTTTGAAAATATAGAAATTTGAGGGTTTAATGTATGAATAAACATGAATGTGTTAGTTAAAATATATATGAATAAGAGTAGAATGTATGAAGGACCGAGTGAGAATATGTTTAAAAATTAGTATATGAGAAAAAAAATTGGGTCTAAGTATGAAAATAAATTATTGTGAAAGTCTTTTCCCCACAGTGGAGGAGGAAGTGCCTTTATGCCTTTATGTTTCCTGCCACACACAACTTTTACATACAAATATTTTTTAACAATGCTGCATTCACTGGCCTGTTAACAGGTTAACATGTGTTTGTTTCATCTCTTTGTTTCCATCCTCTCGGACAGAACATGGAGCTGGTGTGTTTCAGAGACATTTGGCCTGCTGCTCCTCACCATTACCTGGTTGTACCCATAGAGCACATACACAGCTGCTTCTCGCTGCACCAGGGACACATTGACCTCGGTCAGTTATAGTGGATCACTACAAATTATAAGTACTGCAAGTACCATTGAACCACTATTTCTACTGCACTGCTACAGCTACTATTGTTGCTACTAAAACTACTAAAGTACTGCTGCCAGTAGGCCTACTGCTACTCTCACCTACTACTAATGATAATATTACTACTACTATTAATAAGGAGATATTTAAGCTTTCTCATGCTGCCTGTAGGTTTTATCATGTTGTGTCTTTACAAAGAAATAACTGAGTCTTTTATCTAACAGTTGAAAGGATGGCTGAAATGGGGAGAGCTGTCCTACACGACCGAGGGATCACTGATACAAACGACATGAGGTAGATAAAGACAGGCAGTGTGTTTTGTGTGTGTGTGTGTGTGTGTGTGTGTGTGTGTGTGTGTTGACTTTTAATGAACACACAGATTAAGGAATAGTTTGACATTCTGAGAAATGATCAGTGGAGTGTTGACTTGGGTGGTATCACGGTATCAAAGTATGCCATTGTATTTAGAAATCCCAATGGTCAGGGTGTGAATGTGCAAAAGTTCAGCGAGGAGTGAGATCTTAAAGTCATCGTGGTAATTTAGCGAGTTACAGTAATCAATACTGGATGTAACCAGGGTGTGAACAAGAATGGCGGTACTGTGCGGTGTGAGGGATGGGAGTTTATGTTGCATAGATGGAAGAAAACAGTCTGAGTTACATGACTGATGTGAGCTTGGAATGACAGAGTGCTGTCAAGGATGATGCCCAGACTCTTAACCTTCAGGAAGGGGGAAACTAAGAAATAATCAGAGCCTGTTCTCACTCCGAAGTCATTGAAATCCAGGACTTGGGCAGTGACTTGCGGCAACATAAACCAACGATAAAAAGGGTCCTTGAACATCAGCATGATATGCGGCCAGTTGCACTTATAATTTAACGGGGCCTGGCAGCATCAGGGGGAAACGCAGCGGGACAAGGACGAAAGTTAAGGTGGCAAAAGTCTGACTGGAGTGGATGGGTCCAACAAACACTGACTTTCATACAAGAGAGCAGTGTTAGCATCCTGTTAGCTTCTAAAGCCAAACCCTGCTCTTTTTTCCTAAGCCTTACCATGTGAATTAGTTGTTGAAGGAAAAAAACTACAATTCGCGGTGTTGTACCAACGTAGTGCGTTTATTTTGAAAGAGACTGTATGTAAATGATACATTACCTGTGAAAACAGAAGTGTATCTTGAAAGAAGACAAAGCATGTAACAGGCAGAACTTGACACTGTGTCCCAGAACTTCAACAACCAACGCACCCAGGGTACCTTTCACGTCGTATGTGGACGTGGAAAGTCCTTGACCAAATGTCGATATGTGACGAGGTCGGAGAATGTGTTGGTCATCAATATCGAGTGTGAAACTGTCAGTTTTTGCTAAGGTGGATTTGGTGCCAATGACAATTAACTCAGTTTTATCACTAATAGTGTTCTCCTGGATCTAAGTCCTGTGTTTTTTGACCCCACTCATCCACCCCAACTACTTCTCATCCAGACTTTCTCACCCTTCACACTAAGTCACCCGACTACCATCACAATCACTACAACCACTAGAGATTGCCACCCCAAAACTGTACTTTTATTTGCTTGTCAGTGTGCTTATCATTACATTGATGTGTTTTCCTCCACAGGCTGGGGTTCCACCAACCTCCCTTCACTTCAGTTGATCACCTCCACCTCCATGTGCTTGCCCCGGCCAGTAAAATCTGCAAGTACCTGGAGTTTAAGTTCATTCCAAGGTCCTATAGGTTTGTTACTGTGAGTGTCGAAGACTAGAAATCCCCCATACCACTTTCCTTACTCCTGACAATTCTCTTATAATATTAGGGTCATTGTAGTGTTAAATATGCAAAGTGAAAATTTCAGAGTTTTTATAGTAATCTAGAAATCTGCTCTAGAGCCCCTGTTCCACCAAGCAGTCCGGTACGATTCAGTTCAGTTCGCCTTTATTCCGTTTCCACTGTGAAAAGTTGTGGATGGTACCAATGGAACCGTTCTGTACTGTCCCCATTTTTGGTCCCCCCTCTGTTGGGGTACCTAGCACACAGATCTGGTACTAAAAGGTGGAGCTGTGAACACTGCAGTCTGTTGATTGGTCAATAGAGGACGGTCACTCTGCTCAGGGCTGAGTTGTGGCTGGTTTAGAGGCTCATGTAACCACTGTTCATACTGTGGAGAGTTTTATTAGTAGACTGTAACTATAAAATGAAACATTAACTTGTAATGTTACTCAATGCATGAGTTGATGACGTGAATTCATCCACTGTGACAGCTTTGACCATTAGTTTTTATATGACATACACTTTTAGTAATGAGTGGATCTTCAAGCGTTTATGTGAATGACATATATTCTAATCCTCACTCTGAGAAAAAAAAGCGTTGTGGAGCGTTGTTCCTGTGGGCTCCAGCAACACTAAACCCCTGTGGCTAAACATCAGATGTAAATGTAGATTCTGAAACACGCGTAGTGACTTTCTCCTTTGATCTTGAGACTTTCATTGCCCTGTCTCCATGAATGTTTTTCTCTTTACAGGAAAGCAGTCTTCGGCAGCGTCTCAAGGGTATAACTCCACCAGTCAAGAAGAGAGGAGCAACAAACATGTCAGAGGAGTCTCTGGACCAGAATGAGCTATGTGCAGGAGGTGCTTTTTGTTTACCATGTTTGGGCACGACAACATCATAAACTGTCAAGAGCAATATCTGGGAACTGAGTCGGTAAATGAGATAATGAAGCAGGTAAATTAATTAGATATTAAAGGAAAACCAAAGGACTGAAGCGTCACTGTAGAGACAGTGACCACACTGAATGTCTGTGTGCAGCAAACAGTCTGTGCTGATTAACAGTTGTATGAACTGTTTGTTGTTGGCTTAAAGCTATAGTGCGTAACTTCTACGTGTCCTTAAATGTCCGTTTCACCCAAGCCACTACTAGAGGAGATGACATAATGCTGATCAGCTGATCAGCTCCTCTAACATCTCGCAGTATTTTTCAATATATATCATTTTTAGTATGCGTGTCGACCGGCGACATTCCAGCGCTGGCACACAGGAAATGCTTCCTCACAACAAGAAGGGAGGGGGAGGAAGAGTGGAGAGTGTCATAGCAAGAGGTAGAGAGCAGGTAGAAAGAGAAAGCAACAAAGAAGTGGCCGAGATACGGTTCAGAAGTGGATCCTACCACAAAGAAAAAGCCTGGACGTTCGGCTGAAGCTCTATTAGCAAAGAAGGAAAGTGACCGACCGAGAAGGCAAACAAGGATTTGTATTGGCGTCGCTTTTCCTCGGTGGAGAGCCCTGAAGGAAGAAATTGGACTGAGGGCAGATATGGATGTTGCCTTGCTGCTGTTGGATAAGTAAGTGACTTGGTTTATAATTATATTATGAGTAGTATGTGTTGCTGTTACATGTACTGGACCTAGTACTTTATTATTTTCTTGGAAATGGTGCTATGAACGTAATGTAATGTTAGCAGCCTGGTGTTCGCCACGTGTTACTCTGTGTACACGGTGTGTGGCGAGTGATACTTTGTGTACAGAGTGTTACTCTGTGTACATGGAAGTGTCGGCTTATTTGTTGTAATAACGCTTTATCCGCTGGGAGGCGACAGAAGTTACGCACTATAGCTTTAATGTGTGTATGAATGTATGTATGGTGGCAAAGTGTGAAATGAATTATACTGTAATGGTTGGTGATATATGGAAAAAAAATGGATTGACTCCATTAAATGCCATGGTACTGTGTGTACTTGTGTTTATTTGTGTGCACAACTACAATCTGTCCTTTTGGGATTGAAGAGAGTTTCTGTTTATTACTACAAAATACATCCTGGAAAGTCCTTGAACACATTTTCCAAAATTTTCTGAAATTAACCAGAAAAACACATTCATGTGAAAATGATAACCACCACAAACTCATTATAAGCCTCAGAAACAAACTTGTGTACTTCCTACACTAGAATACTGTGTGCCTCCATGTTTGGTGTGTCACTGAGTTTGTGGTAATTGAATTAAACACACATTTCTTTGAGAATGTATACCATGTATTGATGTCAACCAAAATAGTAAAGATACTTACACAAGAGCCATCTCTGTGACAGGGACAGAGAAGGTACCAGAGATACGTTATTGATACCATAAGGTCCTTATGATGCTCTTCTGTGTGGAGCTTGCATATTCGTCCTGTAGCAGCGTGGGTTTTCTTCTGATACTCCGGCTTCCTCCCACAGTCCAAAGACATGCAGGTTTTTATTAAATGCACTCCAGAGTTTTTCTTGTTGTTGTTTTTGTTAATTATTTGTACAGAATAAAAATCCCAAAACTGTCAGTGTTGTGATTTTTTTCAGGGTATGTTTTTAGCAAAGTTCATTTCAAGTTTGGTCTGTTCTTAAAAGAGCTTTATTCTATTCATTAATTTTTTTTAGTGAGGAATAAAAATCCATAAAGTTTGACATAAGTTTGAGGAATGCGTGTACAACATGTATTACAGTGTTTTCATTTTACTTGTCGAGAATAATGAAGCAGACGCTTTGACGTGACAATAATGCAGTGTCAAGGATTATAAAATGTGTAAATACGGTATGAACCACAGGGTAGCAGCCTTAATGTTTGAAGTTTTTCTTTTCCAGTAATTATTAACCGCTTAATACAGACCAGCGTTTTGGTTTACACGGATGCAATGTCTGACAGCTCATACTTGAGTAGTTTGACATTGGAATTTCCGTGTTTCCCATGAACGCAGCAATGGAGCGACTCGATGAGCTCTGTCAGCAGCTGGTCGTCCTGACTCCTGACAGCAGACACGCTCAGACTTCAAAGGTATTCAGCCTCAACACTACAGTGACGACATAACTTGAGAGACAATAATGGGGACTCAGGACGCTTCAAGGATCGAAGACTGTCCTTTCTGCCTGATAGTGAACAACCAGGCTGACACAGAGATCCTGCTGAGCGTGAGTACCCGACTCTTCCTCCATGTTCAGGAAGTAAACAGTGTAAACTCCTGCCTCTGCCTCTGTGTCTCTGTACAGGATGATGAGCTGCTCTGTTTCCGTGACATGAAGCCTGGAGCCATACATCACTACCTCGTTATTCCCAGGACTCATATTGACAACTGCAAATGTCTCCAGGGGGATCACATACCTCTGGGTGAGTAAGACCCGGACTCTGATCTATACATGTCTGTTTCACTGTTTGTTAGCAGGTCAGTATTGGTAAGAGTTCAATAGAGACAGATGAGTCAGCAGCCATTGATTTATTACAGGAAATACTGCCTGGGACCATCAGTCAGAGCTAGAAACTGGAGAGATAATCCTTAAATTCATGTAACTGTGAATTGAAGACACTGACAAGGCAAGGCAGCTTTATTTGTATAGCATTAAAAAAAGATACAGAGAAGAGTAAAGAGGAAAAAGAGGAAACCCAGTGATTGTTACTGGTTGTGAACATTAGGTTGTGGTTACTGTAGTTAGTGCCACTGTCATTTGAAGCATTCTCTGGCACAAGAATTTCCATCGGGTTAAATAAAGTTCCACTGAATTGAATTGAATTGAAACAGCTAATTTCATAAGCGAAATGCAAATCCTCCGCTGTGTGTGCGCGCTTTAGCAGAATATACCATAAAAAACACAAGTCCCTCCCCAGTGCTTAAAAAATATTTGACATGCCTGCAACATTTTGCACCACTGTCTCCCCTCTCATAAGTAATGAACAGTCCCTTATCATGGTTAGATGGTACCCTTACTTTTTAGGCTGTATGATGGAACCATACTAATTTGATTTGTTTGTTCCTAGTGGAGCGGATGATAGAAATGGCTACCAGTGTACTAGAGAAGAATAAAGTCGGCGACCTGAGTGACGTCAGGTAAGTCAGTCTGCTGAGATGACATCATCAGAGTTGTGACTTCATTTGCTTCAGAGGAATGACAAGTTTTTTTTTTATCATTTCTTTGCAAACCTATGCTCATGTGTCTGTTTTCACACTCGCACTGACAGGATGGGGTTTCACATTCCTCCATTCTCATCTGTTCCCCACCTCCACCTCCACGCTCTGGCTCCAGCCAGTAAGATGAACTTCAAGGCGCAGCTTCACTACGGGCCACAGTCTCACTGGTTCATTACAGTGAGTGATATCTTGGATGGATGGATGCATTTACCTGTGGAGACTTGAGCGTGCCAATAAAATAATTTTAGCTGTTTACCATGATAAATAATAATAATAAAAAAAAACCGTGTAAAATGGTTCATAAAATTAGATTAATTTATTATTAATTAAAATTTTAATGCCACACTTGAGTCTCCCTACAGCGATGACTTCAGTCTGTCAAAATCAGAAACGAGCAACCCGTGTTAACATCTCGTACATCTGTTGTTGTGTACACTGTTCAAATATTATATACATTTTTATGTATAAATGTCATTTATAAGCAGTTTTAATTTTTATTATTATTATCATTATTATTACACTTAAGTACAATAATGTGAATACTGTATAAGTTCCTTGTTCTGCTCTGTTGCAGGTCGACAAGGTGCTGTCTCAGTTGAGGACTCGTGGCAAGGTCAGATGAAGAGATACAAGGAGTCTGAAGGTGCAACTGTCTTTTTTTATGTTGACAGGTTATTTACTGTAATCCCCTTACACTAAGAATTTCAAATCACCGTCCATCTGACTTGACATTTTATGATGTGTATTCCTCAATGTATTGGTGATTAAGTTGTGGATAAAAGTGGAATAAGGGCTGTTTGTTCAGGTGGAAGTGATAAAAGTTTTTTTAAAATGCATTCTAGTCCTATTAAATGTCAAGTTATGCAATGAGGAGAGAATTACAGAATTTAGGATATGTATTTACAGCGATGGACAATCACTTTTTTTGTATGTTTACTTGTCTGTTTAATATGAAGTACATCAATTGAAACAGCTGCTTATGCATTTGATATCTTTGTGTCATAATTTATTTGATGAACTGGGGTGCAATCTGTCTTTTAATCCAAATGTAATGTTATATATAATTTTAATAAAAGATCTTGAGAAGCTCTTAATCGTGGGATCATCTATGACAAAGGTCTCAAAGGCTGCATATTACTGGTCAGGATTCAGTCAGCGCTTTCAAGATTGACAATGTGTGACAGTGTGTGCCAGTGGGTGCGTAGATATCTGAAGGATTTGTTGGCAGGTTTTTTTTTTTTCATCTTCAGAAAACAAAGTTATCAGCAGTGACTCAAGATGCATCACTGGTTTTCACAACTTTCTGTCAGCCACTAGATGTCAGTGGTGTAGCTTGCAACTATTGTCAGTATTTTTGTTTTACAGTGGGGCAGGACAGATAAGATAAGATAATATAAGATAAGATACACCTTTATTGATCCCATAATTGAGAAATTCCAGTGTTACAGCAGTCAAGGAGAAAGAGTCAGGTTCAAGATTTCAAATTTAAACTTAAAAAACTTAAATAACAGAGAGGGACAACACACGATATGGGCTTCATAAACTGACCCTCAACCCTTTTTTGTATTACTTATTCAAAAACAATAAAATAAGAGATGTCAAAAATTAGCCTTTTGGTCATTTTCTGACACCAGCCTGCCGCAATGCAGCATTTTCATATTTGGAATCTTCTGTAGTTCATACAGATGTTGTTGTACAGAAATTATGAAACAGGGCCCAAAACTAAAACATCCGTCATCAACTGCAAGTCAGAGTCTGGAATAACTTTTCATACCACACTCAAAACAAATGACATAATCTCTCAGACTCAGTGCTTCTCTATCTCACTTACCTAAATTACCTATTTGGCATGTTATCACCTTTGGACATGTTAACATCCTGCAAACTCTGCATCTACTTCTACTGCATTAACAGGAGATACAAAGTTCAGTCTTTCAACTGACTTCTTCAGCCAGTTTTAATTTAGCTATGACACCAATGAGTTAGTAATAAGTGCCATTACTAAAATGGCAATAATTACTTGGTAATTAGTGCCATTGTGGCCCTGGGTAACAAGTTTTCCACCCACACTCCTGAATATGCCTGTGAGCCTTGTTCAGCTGGGGACAGCAACACCACTTGGACAAAGAGAACTGGACACATGGATAGATAGATAGATGGATAGATAGATATTGATACCTGTCCGATAATGGATCTAGAGCCTATCTATATGTAATCAGCAGCCTCTATCACACTAAAACGGTGTGTGGAGTCGCTGTAAAGACTATATACAAATATGTTGAATTAGTTATGATATAATACGTATTTTATTTGATTTTTGGACACACTCTGTTAGCTGGAGAAAGCTGAAATCAAACCAGCCGTTGACAAACCGGTATCCTGGCCGGTGACGTTACATTCCTGACATTCTACGTTGACGTGACGCCGCGCTGCTGCGGTGTAGCCCCGCCCCTCGCGCCGTCAACAACTGGATCCCAGCTATTTGTATTTTCACTGCTAGCCTGCTAACGATGATTCATAGCGCCCGTAAAAAAACGAGTTAGCCACTCTGGATGGATGTTTATTCATTTCTGTTTGCCTGAAGCACCCTCCATCGACAGCTCGTGCCGATGTGCAGTCAGTGCGCGCAGAAGGACCGAGCAGAGCGGAGAGATCGCCGTGCACACCGTCCGTTAGCCGCCTGTGAGACCAGCTAACACTGCTAGCACCGTAGTACAGAGCTCGTTAGCTGGCTGGCTGACAGCTGGTGCGGTGAGCTACGTGCCTTCAACAGTAGCGTAGCTGAGATTTACTCCCCGGAACAATGAATTGTCTCTGACATTGGTGAGTGTTATTAAAATGTTATGACGTATTACTATTAATTTATTACGTGTCATTTGCTTTGAGTCGTCTCAGCGTTGCTTTGCGAGCTAGCTGCCTGGCTAACCGTCGGCTTGTTTGTAGCAGCAGCTGCACAGAGCCACGCCTGGGCCATTTAAATTTACGTTAGCGGCTGTTAACATGGCATTTTACTTAACAATGTTTTTAAGGGCTGGAAATAACTCCACAGTTTTGGTTTACAGAGAGGACTGAGGCCCAGTTGGTTGTCACATTGGAGTAACCAGAGCCCAGAACAAGCAACGGTGGGTCCTGGTTGACTTTACGGTGGTGCCATTGAAGATAAGGGGGTGAGCCGTCAGTCAACTTGCCCATGCACCCCTGGTTTTGACCTGCTACAGCTGCCAACATGATGCCGGTGAGTGCACACAATCCCTGCCCTCTTGCCATAAAAATGTATTTGACAATATGTTACTCATAATAATTGGACTGCTCATGTTTACACAAATCAAACCTGTGTTTGCTCTCTACAAGTGTAGTTTCATCTGTTAATCTTGCTCTGTGGCATTTGGGAATCTGATTCATAAAATGGTGGTTATGTGGTTTCCCAGGCTTAAAATATAAAAGTAGCAGATTAACATGAATACCACACTTTGACTCTCTGACATCAAATGTACACAACATTTTGCCTTTCCCACTGCCGCTAAGCTTTTCTGTGAGTGACATCACATCCTAGAAAGGAAAAGCTTAACTTTATCTGCTGTGATTTAATCTGTTGTACATTATCAGCCTGATGTCATTGCTGCAGGACTTACATTTGTCATGTTGATGGTTACAATGACATTAGGAAGGGGAAGTGTAAACACAAACAGGGCTTGTCATAACTTGATAGATAGGGATTGTCATGTATGTGAAGTCTATTTGCTTTTAGCATAAGGAATCAAGTGTGTTTCCCTGTAGACACATGCAGTAATAAACAAGTAGAATTACACTCCTTTAATTCAGTATAGGACAGGAAAACCTCACACCTTCTTCTCTCTCTTTGATAATAGTGAATTGGTGCGTGGAAGGAACACTTCGGATTACTCAAAAATGACACAATAAAAGTAGTTCATAGTATTTGTGCATGTAGTCTAAGAAGTACTAAGTCCAGCACTGTCAGTGGCGTTAAATACTTATGGAAGAAATGGGTTTTATCCCACGTTAAAGTAAGAAAAAGAGGCTTATTCTTCTTACCTGAAGTGGACTTTGACATTGGATTACTCAAAGATTACACAGAAGAAATAATTCATGTTATATGTGCATACAGTCTAAGAAGTATTAAGTCCAAAAATATTAGGCTCATGCATGCTCAAGTTTCACCCTCTAGTCTCTCTATAATAATAAGGAATTAGTGCTGAATAGGGTTGAAATAAAACGATTGTGATATTTAAACGAGTAGGTGCAATAGGCTTTGTTAAATCACTGTTTTCATTCTGTTGTTTTCCTCAGTGTTGTTGTTCAAGATGCTCTGTGATGCAAAGAAAAGAATACCTGAATGGCAACACTATATGAGTCGTGCTTTGTTGGGACCTCTTTGTTATCCTTCATGCTGAGAATGCAGTGATGGATTGTGGGAAATGTGATTGCAGCCCTTTGGGCCTTCAGGGAAGGGAAGGTGAACTCAGATGCAGGATAAGTTTACAGTTAGGTGGTGTCATCGTAAATGGAGGTGATTCAGTCTTGGCTTGTTATCAGTCTGAATGATGGTGCATTGGTTGGAAATACAGTACCACAGTTATGTTTTGTCTATTGCCAACTTCAGGGAGTTTTCAGGAGTACAAGGTAACAGAGAAGTTACTCCATGTTTGCTGCAGCCGTCGAGCTCTCAGGATTGACTGCGATGGTAGCCTCTGTAGAAGTTTGTACCCTGTGGCACCAACAGGCTATCAGAGTCAAAGAGCCAGTGGAGCAGAGAGGCAGCCCTGCACTTGGGTCTCGCGTGACTCCAGCAGCCAATGAGACCTTGGCAGATCTAGGTCTGTGTGGCTGCGTCGACTAATGCTCTGTTGTTAAGGGGAACTTTTGAGCTGAGTAGATTGTCAAGTGGCATTAATCTCACACAGTGGAGCTGGGCCGAGCGTGACTTACAGGAAATGTAAACATTGCATCTTATTGTTGCTTTGACCATTTCTGGAGGTACACTGGTTTTAAAATGACATAAGCTAAGCCATATACCATACAGCACCCTTCATTGAACAGTACATTTCTATAAGTTAATATAGACTGTTACTGTTGTACCTTTTACCTCAAACTCACTATGGCCAGATGAAACAGCGAGTTATTGATTTATTTAACAACTACCACCTGTTTAAAACCACTAGATCTCTTCTCTTATTGGTTGGAGGAGCATACACTATTAATTAAACTCTTTCCCTCTCATACATATTAGTCAGCTCTCACTCAGAGGGACACATCCTCTTTGAGCAGCAGGTTAAATCTTGTAGGGACCTGATATGTTCACATACCTCTGTCCACATTTATATTTCCACTTCAACAAGCAAGTACATTTCCTGATAAAAATATGAATCATCAAAGGAGTTTGTGCTTGATAGCTACTAGATGTGTAAGCTCTACTAGAAGTTTGCAATGCAGCCAAATAACAGAACATGTTCTTAGATAAGCCTTTTCAAAGATTGGATCTGAAACATTGTGTGTGCATGACATGTGTGTTCAAGTGTCCAGCAAAAGGGAATATGCTTACATTTGGCGTCCGGTGCATCTTATGCATATATGATACATAAACAGCCTTGTTGTTCCACATATTTAGCCCTGTTAAGATAACTGTTCTTGGTAGATGATATATTGTCCCAGAAATAATTTCAGTAAACTGTATTATTGTTATTTTGTGGCCTTTTTATACCACTAGTATCATGATAATATAATAGCAAAATAATGCAGTTGCACTGTTTGATAGTTCAGTGAACGTTTAATTTTCAAAAATAGTCAGATGTGTAAAAATCATTAACATATCCCAAATAAATAAATCATAAATAAACCTTTGCTGGTCGACATACAGGCTCGTTAACGTTAATGGACTTTCCTCTGTCATTTAGCGTAAGCTCACAACGTTCCCACACCAGAGTGGTGGAATTATGCTTTGGAACTGAGTCCATTTGGACTTATTCTTCCAAACTTGCTGGTCAGTTGCCGTAGGGAAAAGTGCTATAAGCCTCGACATTATCTTCATTTCACCTGGCCCACTGCTGCTGTGTATGTGTGGGACACAGCAGCAGAT